GATCTTCGAACTATCGATAGCAGTAAAATTTGGTAGCGAGTCAATTAGGTACTATTTTTATTATTTTTGCATAATGTAAAGCAAATATTGTACAATTCCGAATATTTTTGCGATAATTGATGATATTCGCCATCTCTGTTATTTGTTGCAAGAGGTCGAGAGATTCACGCAAAGAAATATGTTCTTCCATTAATTTATCTATTTATCATACGTACATATATGTATTAATAATTCTTTAGTATCAATTATTCGAGATCTGTCGAATTTGATAACGGCGAAATTTTGAAAAATGTAGTTAATTAAAAACAATATTTATTAATTATTCTTCTGTAACATTATAGCTTCGACATATTAAAAATTATTCAGTGTATATTCTATTGATATTGGAGTACTCATTAAGATTTGTCTCAAAATGTTTCAAGTATTTGCACATATTAATAATTACATTTATGTAATCGTAAAAATGTTTAATAAACAACCATGCGTGATGCTTTTTTAAATAAAATTATTAAGTCAATAAGCTAGAAATTTGTCAAACATAGTGTCTCCGCGCATTTTAATTTAGAACAATTTATCATAGATAAATGATAGAGATATCCGAATTACTTATAATAATTAGAGGGGTAAAAACCATAGTAGTGTAAATCAATATTATAAAAAATTTGACTTAGGTACGCCACTATAGTGTAAGTCCCCCTTCAATTAATGATAATAATTAATAATTAATAATTAATTAATGATATTAGTCGTAATTGCTCGCGTAAATTAAAAATGAAGTATAATAAACTTTAGATTTATTATTCTATAAATAATAAGTAGGGTAGAGCGGGGTCAAAAGTAACAATTTGACTTTAGAACTTGATTGTGGAAGAACTATTACAGTAAAAGAAAAACTCTTGATACCCTAAGTCCCCTTTCAATAAATGATAATAATTAATAATTAATAATTAATTAATGATATATTGGTAATTTTAAAATGCTGAAATAATTTTTAATAACCTATATAAAGAAAAAAGAGGAAAGATCGTTTTATATTAAAAAAAAATTAAAGGACTAAATTATTATATTCGTTAGGAGACTTAAAATATTGATTGCTTTTTAAACGTTATTCTAATTTAGATATTTTGTATATTGACAGAATCATCATAATTTCATGATAATAAAATACATTGAAATAATGTGACTGTATATTTTATATTATTAATCTAAAGTTACTTTTTATTTTTGTAAAACTGTTGACAAAAAAATACAATTAAAAATAAAATTATTAATTATAATGAATTAGTTAATTAGTCAATTATTTAATTTATAATAATGTACATTAGTTGTATTGTCTACATGAAAAAGATTTGTGTAATTATAATGTAAACAATATGTAAACAATTTAAGTTGATGTAATCTTGTTTACCTTCGTGGACACGTGTTTATTGAGAATGTTACGTAGTTCAATGTATGAACACGTTTTGTGCACAAGAGGCGCTAGCGAACGAGTTCCACTTTAAAATGCGGACGTGTCCATTCTCAAGCTCTTTCTCTTCACTCGCTGACCAATAGTCGATCGAGGTGTCTTTAAATGATTGGTCGAGTGTCACTAGAGTTTCTAGGGACTTATAGCTGCAGGTTTGTTCCCGTATCCTGCGCGGTGCTCAGGTGCTCAGTGCATTCGAAATATAAAAACAGGTAAGGAAGAAGAACTTCCGATATTTCGTAATTATTCTGTTGCTTCGTGACCGGGGCTTTACGCGTGACTCACGCGTGAAACACATTATCTTTTCCTCGATATTTTATAACGGTGCATGGCTTAAGTAGATTCGTAAAACTACTAAATCCCATTACTGTGTTAAATTTGAATGAAATAAGCAGAACCCGAAGGAGAATAAATATAAATTATCTTTGACAAGTATATTTTCTCGATACGCAGATATCCGGCTTGAAGCTTGATCGTCTCGAACTCGATTGGTGATCGATTGGAGCGTAACCGCCCGCGCCGCTGGCTTGAACCGTGCGGCACCGTGGCAGCAGCGCTTCCGGCGGAACAGCATTGTCGCGGATGATCACGTGATCGTGGATCGACTTCTTCGTTTGTGGCCACGAGGTTTTGTGTGGTGAAAATTAAGTTTACCGGGTGGAAAAGGCCCCCTATTTTTGTAGTTATACAAAAATGCCCTCCAGCAACCCGTTGCCACCCAAAGAAAATGCCCTGTTCAAGCGGATCCTGGTGAGTAACGGCCGATCAAAATACTCTGTTTTGGGGCCCCACTCTCCGGTGAGCAGGGTGCACTCCGCCGTGCTCTAATGATAAAGCACTCTTCCGAGGCGAAAAATGGGAAAAGGTCACTGGCGACCGCGAGACGCGGCCGCCTGATTGGCGTCACGAACGAAAAGCTGTCTCGCCCGGCGGCCCGCCGCGACGATCCGCATCGTCGTTCTCGCGTGAACGCTGGATAGAACCCACCGAGCTCCCCCCCTCCTACCTAACCCCCAACTATGCATTTTCACGGTATGCGCTGGGTGTTCTTTTACAGAGATGCTACGAACACAAACAATACAAAAATGGGCTGAAGTTCGCGAAACAGATCCTGTCAAATCCCAAGTTCAGCGAGCACGGGGAGACCTTGGCGATGAAGGGTCTCACCCTCAACTGCCTGGGCCGCAAGGAAGAAGCCTACGATCATGTGCGTCGTGGCCTCAGGAATGACCTACAGTCCCACGTTTGCTGGCACGTCTACGGTCTTCTGCAGCGCTCCGACAAGAAATACGATGAGGCTATCAAGTGTTACAGAAACGCGCTCAAGTGGGACAAGGACAACATTCAAATTCTTAGGGATCTGTCCTTGCTACAGATCCAAATGCGGGATCTGGAAGGATACAAGGTAAATATTCTAGAAAGTAAGTCGTTTTTATTTCAAGCTCCTATTTTATCGTATATATTATATATGTATCATCTTCTACATCGCCATGTAAAATATTACACTTTAATTATACATTTACAAATATCCATTACTTTCTCACAGGATACCAGATATCAGTTGTTTATGTTACGTCCTACTCAACGAGCTTCTTGGATCGGGTTTGCTATTTCATATCATTTGTTGAGAGATTATGAGATGGCATTGAAAATTTTAGATACTTTTCGAAATTCTCCAATGGTACGCTACTCATACATACACAATATATTATGCAGAAATGCAAAATATATAATAAAAAATTTGTATATCCACAGATTTGTTATGATTATGAACATAGCGAGTTGTTACTGTATCAAAATATGGTCATCCAGGAATCGGGAGAATGTGAACAGGCGTTAAAACATTTAGACAAGTATAGTGATCAAATTTGTGACAAGGTTACTGTCAAAGAGACTTACGGTAAGCGTGCAACATGCCTCTTGAAGTAATACTTTTAATACTGGAATGGTAATATTTCTTGTGTAAATCATCTAGGTAAACTAAGACTTCAACTAAAACAGTATGCAGAAGCGGAACAAGTTTACAAGGAGCTACTAGATATTAATCCTGAAAATACAACATATTATACTAGGCTAGCAGAGGCTGAGAGACATTCTTCACCAAGCGAAACATTGCATATGCTCCAAAGATACGAAGAACTTTTTCCTCGAGCGTTAGCACCGCGTTGTTTGCAACTCAATCATGCTACAGGAGATGAATTTAAAGTTTTAGTTGATCGATATTTACGGAAAGGTAACGTTTCTTTCTAAAAAAAAAAAAAAACTTGCTTTCCACATTTATATATACAAATGAGACCTTTTTTCATAATTTCATGTATTTAATTGAATTTGTTTTATTCTAGGGCTTCATAAAGGTGTGCCCCCGTTATTTGTGAATCTTCGTTCATTATACACCGATAAAGAAAAGGTCGAAATCATATCATCTCTACTTGTGCAATACAAGGAGGCATTAAAACTTCACGGCCATTTTAGCGATCAAGAGAAAGATAATCCGCGAGAACCAGCATCCGCTTTATTGTGGACCTATTATTATCTAGCGCAACATTATGACTACCTCGGTCAAACGGAAAAGGCATTGATTGAAATTGACGCTGCCATAGATCATACTCCTACGCTTATAGAACTTTTTGTTACCAAAGGTCGCATTTATAAGGTAGGAGTTTACATAATTATATAATCAATGTTGCTACTCTGTGACATTGCAAACCTTGAAGAACCATGACATTTTTCTAGTTTTATTACAATTGCCATTTTTATAGGAAGGAATTGTAAGCCTCTTGTTCAATTTCTGTAGGATTGATTTTATTTTTAAAACTTATTTATTATTGTTTGGAAGTTTCTATTCTTTAATGCGATTTACTTTTCAATAATAACCTTGAAATTAAATTTTAATTTATATTTTGGATACTTTATTTCTATTATAGTGTATATAATACTTTTTCATTCAAAATTCTTGTCAGTTTCTAGTGTCATATATGTGAGATAGAAGTCACAAATATGGGAATCAAATCTGGATTTTTTGCTTGATAGGCAATTGTTCTATCACTGATCTATTTAGCATCTCACAATTATACTACATAAAAATTTATTATAAGGAATAGTGTGGGAGATATATGACCTAAAAAGATATTTGTATGTTAACAGCATGCTGGGAATGTTCAAGAAGCTTATAAGTGGCTGGACGAGGCGCAGGGATTAGACACAGCTGACCGATATATTAACTCTAAATGTGCCAAATACATGCTTCGTGCAAATCTTATTAAAGAAGCGGAGGAGACGTGCGGAAAATTCACTAGGGAAGGGGTCTTAGCTATGGAAAACTTGAATGAAATGCAGTGCATGTGGATTCAAACTGAAGCGGCCAACGCGTACAAACGTCTTGAAAAATATGGAGAGGCGTTGAAAAAATGCCACGAGGTTGATAGGGTGGGTAGTAAAGTAGTATATTTTATGCGCACTCAAGATATATGTTATATAATCTCTTATCGTAATACCATGATTATTTACAGCATTTTTCGGAAATCATAGAGGACCAATTCGACTTTCATACATATTGTATGCGAAAAATGACGTTGCGATCTTACGTGGGTCTTCTAAGGCTAGAAGACGTTCTCCGAGCTCATCCGTTCTACTTCAAAGCAGCGAAATGTGCAATGGAGGTCTATCTGCGGCTACACGATTATCCTTTGCCAGATCCAGCGCAAACGCAAGAAATCGACACTGGTGAGTACTATTATTTATTGGTTAACAGTTTCTGAACAGTCATGCATAGTATATTTTTATAAAATTTTGGATACGAATCAAATTAACATGTCATGCACTGTGTTACAAACCTTAATTTTAATACAGATTGTGAAACTATTTATATTGCAAATTGCTGGTTGTTCAAACATTAGTTCAAACATTAAGATTTATTTATAGAAATGTGTATATATAAAATTCTTCTAATTAAATTGATTATATTACAATTAAATGCATAATGTGATCTGAAATTCAGATGGTAGTAGATAGAGATTTGTGTCAATTGTTATTTTATATTTTTTTACATATTTTTTTCTGTTTTATTCAACTTCACATTCTGCGCATAGAGAAAAACTTGTGAAAAAGATTCGCAATAGAACCTTTATCTGCCAAAGCGCGTACATTAAATAGACAATAGTAATTATGTATATGTACACGGCTATTTCCATTAATCACAGATAATGCGCAAATATGCGATGACGAGGCGCATATTACAGATCGCAAACACGAATACGATCACATGATGTCTATTATTCTAAGGTGGGAGGGAGTCAGGTTGCATAATAATTTAAGCGTTTATCGTAAAACAACATAGCTATAATTATCTAACTTAGGCAATTCGTATTTACAAATACAATAAATATATTAATAATACGCGTATGCGTGTGTGTATGTGTGTGTGCGGCTGACACGCACGCAGGCGACACGCGATCACTTCGCGCGCTGGATATCCGCGAGATTATGGCATTGCACGCGACTGCCGTTGAATACGCGCGTTCAGATGTTACCCTGGCCGTCTCCGTAATCTCGGTCCTCTGGGTTTTGGATAAACGTATCCCTCGTTCTGGTCCTGCCGTTGCGTGATCGCCTGCGGCGTCAGGAAGTAAAAGTGGCCGACGTCGCCGGGCAGTCGGTACGCGAAGTACGCGTTTGGATTGTCCGGATGATTGTTCTGCACCGCGACGGGATCGATGAATTCGGCGTCGGGATTTACGGGGGGACGGGGATTTCTGTAGTTGACCTCTATGTCGTCCAACAGCGACACGGGTTGCCGAACGCTCTCCAGCTCCTCTCGGGATTCGGAGAAAGGTACGAAATTGTTGGTGTGTCTGTTGGCCGGTTGTATCGTGCCTCGCAACCTGTAACGAGGGGTCGGCCCCTGCTGTTGAACTCCCTGATTTCGCAATCGATAGTTACCCGTCTGCAGCTCGTAGTTCGGTAACGGCGACGACTGCTTCGGCCGATGCTTAGGCTCGATGATCTCGATGAACTCGCTGTCCGGATTGATCGGCGGCAAGGGTCGCCGGTAGTTGACGAGAGTGTCGTCCTGGAGAGAATAAGGTCGCGGCGACTGATCCCCGTAGCGCACTTTGACGTTGGGCGTTTTGTAAGTCACCGGTCGACCGGTCTTGTAAACGTTCGACACGTAGGTGTTCACGCTGTGATCAGGCTTCTCCGTGACGCTGCTCGATTTCCCGTAGATCGGAGTCGTGCTCGATATTCCCGCGTCCGGTAGTTTCTTGCCGAAGATCGTGAAGTACTCTTTCGTAACGTCGTCCAACAGCTTCTCGTCCTGCTGCGTGAAATACGCGTATTGCGGATTAGGTGTCGTATGTACGATCGGATAGGCGGTGCTCGTGGAATAAGCCGGATGTTGCGTCTTATACGATACTTGTTTCCGCGGCGACTGATGCAGCGACGGGGAATCGATGTCTTCGTAGTCGTATTGCTGATTGCCGATCTTGACGTCCTGATACTCGCTGTATATTGACGCGTCCTGTTGCTGCTGCTGCTGCTGTTGCTCCCCGTGATACGGCGATCTCAGATTGCTACCGAGTTTCGAGTAATCCGCTACCTGGAAGCTGTACTGATAGATCGGCTTAGGCTTCGTCGTCTGTCGATAATACGTTTGAGGCTTCGGAGTCGTGTAGTACGTCTGCAGCGGACGCGCGGGAACAGGTTGATAGTAAACGGGTTCGTCGGCTAACATACGCTGGCCCTGATCCCGAGACGAGCTGGCGTCGAATTTCGTGGATGTAGTCTCCGAGTCGTCGGTGTATTGGAACGTCTGAGAATTCTTGACGATGCTATCGATGAGCTTCACTTTATAGTCCTTCGAGGTCTCGACCGGCGGGATCGTCTCGACGGAGTAATAGTGCTTCTTCTGCTCAGTCTGTCGGGGTCGCGACGTCTCGACGTCATAATATGGCGACTTCGTCGTACTCTCGTAGTAAACGGGCGACGGTTTCGCCGTGACGTCCGAATTCTCGTCGGTCGACTCCTCGTAGAAGTAGTAGGACGCATGATTGGGAGATCGACCGGGTTGACTAGTGGTGATGATGCTCTTTATAGAGACCGGCGTGACTTCCACCGGTCGTTCCAGCGACGACTGCGTGGTCGACGGATAGTACGCGAGAACCGGGACCGTTTTGCTCGTCACCAGAGTGGACCAGTCCTTCTGCTGGGTTGTCGCCTCGGACACCTGATTCCCGATTACGGGGCTGATGGTGTATATCTCGGTATTTTCGAGAGTGTGCGGTTTCCCAGACGTCGTGACTTCCGCGCCAGGTATGGTCTTCTGCTTAAGTTTAAAGGTGTTCGTCGCGTTTTTCGCAGTCGTACGACCGAAGGATATTTTCGTGGAGGTCGATGATGTGGTGCTCGTCTTGGTTACCAAACTCGGCGGAACGGACGAGGCCTTGTTCTGTTTAGTCGTGAGTTTTCTCGGTGGCAGATACGTCGGTCGTGTCCCCGGTGAGGATGTGGTCGTCGGTCGCTTCGTGTACTTCTTTGTGGTGGTTTTCTTATCGTCCAAAGCAGAAAAGAAGTCCGGCGGCGGGGGCAGGATGATGCCGGGCACCAGGGGGCCCGGCGGCACAGCCGTCGTATTATCTTGCGGATAATGGAAACTGTACGGTGGCGGATAGTAGATGGACTGATCCTCCTCGTCGTAATCCGACTGATTTCCCGGCGGTGGTACAAAGATCGCGCCGGGCGGTATGGCGTGATAGAAAGGCGGAAGTGACCCAGGCGGCTGAGGGAATTCCGGTTTTATTCCCTTCTGATCATTGTTACCCCTGGACGATTTCTCCTCGACGGAGAAGTTTCCCGCGGGACCGAGATCTGGAGCGAATATCGTGCCGTTCGGAGAGATAGTGAAGAACGGATTGTCCCCCGGTAACCCCTTCGCGTAGAAAGGATTCGTGTTGTAGTCGAGGGTGTCGTTGCCAATCTCCTCCGCGGTACCGTTCGGACCGATGATCTGTACCGGTCCTCCCTCCGTCAGTTGTACCGGAAAGGGCGGCGGTACCTTCGGCCGCGCTGGTATCTTGACCTGCCGTTTGGGCGCCTTGTAATTATCGATGGGCGGCCATTTCGGCTGCTCACTGCTCGGCTGCTGGCCGTCCTGTTCATGCTCAGGAAATTTCCCGCCCCTCAGCACCAGCACGTGGTTCTCGGCCAGCCAGATTTCGTCCTCGTCGAGGCCGCCCAGGTTGTCGATCGTGTCCTTCGGCACTTCGGGATTGCCGAGGTAGCTGATAATGCCGGGCCGTTTCGGACGATTGCCGTAAATCTCGTTCTGTATGAGGCCGTACTTGCCCTCCTTGACCTGCTGGGAGAGTGTTTTTTTCCCGTCCTCGTCGTCGCTGCTACCACTGTCGCCGCTACCGCGATTACTTTTCCCCTCCTTGCCGTTGCCGGCCGCCGACATGAGTATTCCGTCGTCCCATAGCGACTCGCCGTCGTCATGGTGCTTCGTATCGAATACTCTCAGGTGACCCCCGATCAGATGGTGGGACACTTTTCTTCCGGGTTCCGCGGTGATCTTGTTGGCCGTCGTGCTGCTGCTCGGCAATCTCGTGCCCCGATTGTCGGACGATTGTTCCTTGCCCGATCGATGACTAGATTCTTCGATACCGATGTACCTCCTTTCTCTGATCATTGACGATTCCGTTATAGTCGCGCATGTCGCTATCAGTGTTAGAGCTAGTGACAGCCTCCGCAGAGATAATGCGAGATGCGTCATCTGAAAATAGAAGATGCTCGTGTTATTTATCTCTTGACCTATATATTTTCAGTTATAGAACGATCAGAAAATGGTATTTTTATCCCGCGATCACAGAGAACAGTTTTTATCTCGCGCGCGCGTGGGAGCTAGTATATAATGGAAAAGTGTAAACTCGCGCATATAACTTCGATATGCACTTTTCTACGGGGACTAGATATGTTAATTAAATCGTACGCTTAATTTTTCTACATGAAATGATTTCTGCGTTTAATAGGTCAGTAAAAGACGCGTTGCGCAGCAAATAAAACAGTTTATTATTCACAATGACCGGAATTACATTCATAGACGTAGCCACGCGGTTTTCCACCGTATGTCAAGGATCTAATTGTGCAACGGTGCCAATTAAGTACTAAGTCACGAACAAAGCGTATGTTTATTCGCATCCTAGCCAGGCCACCGTGCTGCCCTGCAATTTAGTCTTGCGGTAACAAAGATACGCTACTAATGGTTCTTGCTCCTATTACTATTTTACAAACTGTGCCGCTGTAAACCTCTGAAATATTTTCAACAGTTTTACGAACAGTTGCGACTTGAGAGAACACTAGACGAATATCACAAAAGAAAACGTAAAAATGAAAATATCAAATAACGCGATCTCCCGGGATGACTTTTTAAGATTTCAAAGTGAGAGTATCGTGAGACGAGAACAATTTTCGCGAATTGCGCTGATCTTCTATATACGTATCGGCGGTTGATCTCTCGAGACCTATGTTCGTATACATTCGGAGAATTCGTTAAATCCACCACTCGGGATTGCGGTGATACGAGAATGCGATATTGAGGGGGCTGCCACGCCTTTCCCTGGCGAACAGACCGGTGAACGTTCGACAAACATTCACGGGTCACTGGAGTACCGGCCGACTCGTAATGACTCGCGACTGAGTAACGAACCGGTGCGGGGCAACGTAGGTTTTCCTGTAGGCACACGCCGATGCATTAACGTCGGACACGAGTTGCTGCAAGGCGCGCGGCTCGTGTAAGTTTGCGGAAGTAACGCCAGCGCGAGCAACACGATAATGCGTTTCCGACAGGCCCGCGGACGTCGCACTTTGCCTATCTCTTCAGACTTTTTTTTTTCTGAAAACTAGCTTCCCTCGATTCGTTTATCCGCGATCCATGGATCCTACGCTTATTACGATATCTTAATTGCTCGCTTCACAATTGCTATAAATAGAAAGTCGTTATATAAATAACATTATGCAAGCAATATGTGATTTCAGTTAAAATATCATGTCATTGCAATCATGTCATGCAATTTAAAAACTCATAATCAAATTATAAATTCCGTAATTGTGTGTGTACATACTGCGAGTTTAAACATCAATCTCGATAATTAATCAATCTGTTTTTATTTCAATCTTCACGATATTTCCATAGCTTTTTAAAATATTAGAAGTGGATTGTACATGTCCGCGATCGATTTTCTTGCGAATTTTAAATTGCGTTTAATGAATGCGGTATCAAGATGTACCTTTCTCCGTACATCCGGAACGGCACGACAAACGTTTACGACACGCTGGGATTTCTGGTATGTCACTGAATTGCTGTAATTGAACCGTCACATGCGATAATGCGCTTCCTCGGGGTACCTGCAAGGTGGTCCGGCCAAGTCCGACGATAGAGACGTAAAACGCCTTACGTGAGTGCGCTCGATTTCTCCGCGCAAGTAACTACTTAATCTACGCGTGCTACGTGACGGAGCACCAACGTTTATACGCGTACAAGAAGAATCAATGAAACACGTAACACTCGATCACTGATGCACGTGGCCACGAAATCATCAATGTGTCCTTAACACTCGTAGAAGATATGTCACTGCGTGATTCACCAAGAGTATTGCACGTACATATTGTAATACGGTATTAAAATACTCCGGAGATTTGCCAACGAGTCTTATAATCACCAACTATCCCGTAAGAATCATCGTTCATTCTCAATGAACACTTTGAATTACTCTGGTTTTCAAATATCTTCAATTAATTAGAGCGTCAAACGAGCGATCCCAGAATTGTACGCGTGTAAGTTGCGACATGAATTTCCTTTCTGAAATCATCTTAGCGTCAAAGAATCATCTTTCTCCGTCGCGCTTCGATAAGTCAGATTGGCCGCGGATACCTCCATTGTGCACTCACCGACGGGCTTACTCTACGATTTAGCATACTCGTTTTCCGACATTTAACCGACACTGCTCACAACATCACGAACGATGTTTCGCTCTAGAAGAAAATCGCGTCTCGAGATTTGCGTCTTATTAACGGGACCGGTTCTCGATTGCACTCGAGCTACGCGTGATTCCGGCGTTGCATCGCACAAGATAAGTCACGTAAGGTGATTTTCCCACGTTCAAGTGTGTATCCTCCAATTAACGTTTCCCGAAGTATACGTTGTTGCTCGTCGAGTTTACGGGCCGATAAGTGGCCGCGTATATCTTCGATATTTCGATCGGTGGAGGAGATTGCGATTGGTGAAACGCGTCGGGCCTCGACGGAACCGCGGTACGACCGCTCGAACCGGCATGGTACACGTGACTGGCGGATTTTCATCACCCTCTCCCGGTGTACCGGGCCCCCCAAGGACGTCGTTCGTCGGGGAAGGTGGAGCCGTTTCCAAGCGGTAGCGATACGGACACACGACGGTTTCGCCGCGCCGGTGGAAAGGAGGAAGTCGCGGCAGCCGGTTCGTACGATTAACGATCGTAATTAGATCGCTCCTTCGTGTGTCTGGCATTATTTCAGCGTCGCTGATTACCCGGAGGGTGTTTTATGCGCGACTGTCCTCGCGCGAGGACACGTAACTTCGGAAAGAGTACAATAAGCGCGTGATGTCGTGGCCTCTCCTTTCACTTCTGTCGGCAATCGGTACTGCTCGATTTTGCTTACTTTTCAGGGCGGCGATACTCACGTGACGAGCGGCGAAAGAATCGCCGCGCATTTGCTCGCGGATTATCCGCGCCCGGATTGCCCAACCATCCGGTAACAAAACCTTTTTGTGCATGCGCGCAATAAGCGCGCGATACTCATAAATCACGCCGATAGTACCTTCCGCGCTTCGCCGTCTCCACTTTTGCTGTCTGCGCAACACCGTCTTAAAGTTTCCTTGAATAAGCAGTTCTCGGGTCATTCGCCGAAATTGCGATCTTGAATCGGTTCGTTGGCTTTTGACGCCCGGATTTGATAGCTATTAAGTTCGAACTTTGTTGGCCGCTCGAGTCGTGTCGGAGAACTCGAATAATCGCCTCGTTCCTTCGCCCCGCGCATTTTGCACAGTTCCCACACAATGCGCGTAATAACTAAGATATGCGTATATATATTGCAAAATAGGCCGGCCGTACGTCGCCAAAATGGAGGTGGTCGGTTCCGCAAGACGAAAGTCGAAGGATTTTTCGTAGCGTGATGCAAGATAGCCGCGATTCCCGCTGGCAGGTGCCGTTACGTTGCCACCGCCAACGAGGCTTGCTCTAGTAAACGTTCGGAACCAGACTTTGCCGTTACGACCAGCAGCAGATCGCTTCGATCTCACTCGCCAAATTGGAAAAAAAATCGGAAACTAGTTTCGAGATAGACGTGGCGTAATAATTATGACTCTCACACGAGAGCTTTACTTGGAAACTCGAAGGGAAGAGTAATTTTCTTCCGGGTTTGCTAGAAACACCTTTCTTGATCTATGAAATTTACCGTATCTTTATATTTGTCTGACAATTAGCGTATTCACTGCGTTAATATGATCTCGCGTATCTGCTTTCACATCAGCGGAATATTGATTATTCTCATTAAAAAGCTTTAATGTGAAAATAATAAATATTTAGTCGCAATGTCGACGTATGCAAATCAAATCGGTTCGAATGCAGTTTCTCGGTCACACCCGACATCCCAGAATATAACGGAAGTTGACCTTGGGTCTGGGCCATCAAAGGCGTCCCACGGTAAAGATAAAACGCCATTGAGCCATCGCACTAGTTCCGCGAGAGTGAAAGGCCGGTCTGGCGGAACGAGAGATCTTTGCAAAACAGCCTCACGTTGATTCATCAGATTGATATCATTCGTTTTGTTAGGTCGATCGTGTATATACCGCGATTAGCAGCTATATACGGTACCTTTTTGGCTAGAGAGTATATGTATCTATTTACGCGTCGTTATCGGGAATACAGATCGTGTCACTTCTATATTTCGAGAGTTCAATTGGTCGGAAAATCTGTCGATACTCAATTCGCTCATCTTGCCGGGCGAATATAACAAAGCCACTTGCACGCGGACGCGCGGGCACCACGTAAGAGTCGCGGATCTACCGTTATCCAATTGAATTTACGCTTTCAACTACTTTCCTTTTTGTTTCGCGTTGTGCTCGCTGAGCAGCATTAATTCCTCAACGCGCGCTGCCCCGCGCTTGGACTTTCGGCGCGTCGTAACGATTTTACAGCCGCGCATAGAAACTTTGGGGTACTCACTCTCGAAAGTGGTCGCGGGCACACCTTCGCTCACACAGGAAATCGATAATCGACTCTAAACAGCATCCTGCGCGACGCACCTTTTGCTCGAGCGCTTCTTTATTTGATAACCCTTTATTAACAATTTATAACCACTCTATTTTCGGTGTTGAGCTCCGAGTTCTACCGCGTTGCACAGTACATTATTCTCGAACGTATAATTTGTTACATTTCTTACGGATCTGCATGTTTGCGTAAGAGCGATAAAACCCCGGAGAAAGCTAAAACATGAATGCGTGAGGTGTCCCGGTGCGCAGGGAATTATCTCTATCGCTTTCAGATGCAAAGATAAGTCTGGATATCCGCGCTACCTAGACACTCCATTGGCACGCTGCACTTGATGCCATATATTAATGTATCGCTCCGGGCTACGCGGTACTCGTGAATTAAATTAGCACGTCGGAAACATCGCTTTCTGCTGCATATAGATTGCGTATATAAGCATGCTTTCTTATATCTCTAGGGCAATTCGAACATTCGTGTATATTTGACATCTCTATCATTATTTTTCTCTTATTGAGAAAATCACACGCTGGAGCGCACGTAGCATGAATGTGTGAGATGCAATTAATTGCCTTCAGCAAACTACCAATACGCTACTCGCAAATTTTAATAGAAATAATTAAATTCTTCTTTTAAGTAAAATATCCGTAAGCTTATTTATACGTCTAGTATTTTTCCGTATACAAAATGTATTTGTATGCCGTCGTATTGCTAACTTAATCTGCTGTCCACTCGCACGCGGGGGTTCACCCATCGCAGAGGAAACACGTGCGATTACTGTGAATTCGCTGCATCACGTAGGCGCTATATCGCATTCGTCGTGTCATACGACAGTTCATCGCGCGCACCACGTCCGAGGTGAATCCCCCGACTCCGTGAGTTCAGAAGAAGTCGGCGACGAGATTGGCGCCGTCGGAACGACAGGGAAGAGTAGCACTCGAAGTGGAACACCTTGGCATTGACCGGCTTGCTCCGCCGAGGCAAGCCCGTGCGCGCGCGCGCGCGCTTGCATAATCAGCTCGTCTCGTTCATCCCGGGGCACCTCTCTCACGTCGAGTTACAGCATCTCAATCGCATCTCGCGGTAAACTCGCTCTTGAGATGAGGGAGACTCGCGCGGTTCACGTACCGATACAATCCTAACGGAGCGTGCACGCGAGCGAAATTTTTTCGACACGGAGAAACGGTACTTTTCTGTGGCGTCTCGCAAATAAATCCCGTTTCCGTGTATCTACAGAAAGTGCAAACGAAACGACATGTGTCGTGTACTTTGCCGTTACTAGAAGAACGGAAATTTAAATGTGGATATATTATATAAACTGATTATGGATCTTATTGACGGAATGATTTTATTTTTAGCAATTTCGATACATATTGTGTACGAGTGATGGAATGTATAAGTAACTTCAGCGTCGAAAACGAGCAGACTGAAGCTTTTTGTCGCATATCAAATTATTGCAATAAATCTTTTTTTTTTAGATTATATTTGATGTAATATCGAATCGTATAAATGACATAAATTTTATAAAAAGCTTCACACTACAAGGAATTGCGTAGCCATAAATTATACAAATTTGTGTCAAAATTCTTATTTTCTATATCTTTGTCTTTCTCTGCAGAGAAAGACAAAGTTACTTAATCGGTTCTCAAGATTATCTCTCAGAAATCTGTCACGTGTTCCCAATTTATAATCATAATATCCTGCAAAAAGTCCTTTCGCGTAGCGCCGTGGCGGCGGCCTTGAGGCAACGGGCGACCAAACTCGACCAGCGAAAAATCCGAAGAAACAGGTCAAACCGCGTGGTAAAGCTCGGAGAACGGCCGCAGACCTTCGTGGCGCAATAATTTGTACAATAAATACATCTCCGCTAATCTCATCAGCGGGTTAGCGGCGCGTTTTCAGCTCGCACTCGTTCGACCGTTCACCTTCACGATAGATAAGAGAACCGTAAATCTTTCAACACTCTCGAGTGTACTTTGGGATGCAAAGTTACTAACCGCGCTCTTTCGAAAGTCGTCGCTCTGAGAATCATCTTGCAGCCTTTACACGCGAACGAAATATCGAGAATTTATAACCCTCCGTCTGTATGCGGTTTTTTTCTCCCTCGGAATGTATACGTGGGTCTGCTACATTTAACGCTATTTTTCCTTACTTTAAAGTATTTTAAAAAAATCCGAAAAAATTCACATCTGTCTACATTGACGATTTTATAGTCATTTTGATAAACATCGTTTATTTAATGTTTTCTGGCAGGCTTGCAAGTTTTATGGTTACGAGCAGATATCATTTCTGCTCGGACGCCGCGCCGTAAACCCACGTATACAGACGGCGAGATAATTATAAAAAAATTACAGATAAGTTTTTAAACTCTCAAGTGAATTCACTTTGAAAAAATATTGTCATACCGCGAGGCTCCCGTCTTAATTTACTCGGAATTATATTTCAGGCATATCTCTCCGGTGATAAAAAGTTCAACATTTGGCTGATCGCTCTTAATGTCGCGTATTTGCGATCGCAAGTTTTTACACGCTTTGATTAACGCGCGAAGGACGCGCGTGAGATCGCGGTATCTATCACGTTTGCAAAACAGACGTGCGATGAGACGTAGTCGTCGGAATTCGCGCCGTTGTCACCCGTTGGATTCCAGCCGATTGTTTCTCTGATGTGTTAATGAATCCGTTGCCGACTCTAATCGCGCGCACGACCGCCGGATTTCAAATCGAACAAGGTTTATCCTAACGTGCGAATGAATCACAGTCCGGGCATCTCAAGACGAGCACGGTCTAGTCCCGCAAATCGCCCAGAGCGATTCTTTTTATTTTTATCCGCATTCCACTTTGTACGTGCACATTCTCACGCTTACGTCAATCCCTCGCGTCCGCTGCACAAGTTTAGACGCCGCCGTATTGCACCTACTAATTAAGGACGATCAGTCCCGGCGAGAGGGGAACCTGGCCAGCGACACGCCAGCGTGCAAGCAAGGTCGTGCCCGAGGTTTCATTGATGACCCTGCTCGCCG